GAAGCAGGCTTCCTGCTGAGCAGGGAGCCCGATGCGGGGCTCGATCCCAGGACCCTGGGATCATGACCTGAGCCGAAGGCAGACGCCTAACGACTGAGCCACCCGGGCGCCCAAATGAGTGTCTTTTCTGTTGTTGTAACCAATTACCATAAATCCAGTGGCTTAAAACAGTGCAAATGTAGGGGTGCCTGGGTGGTTCAGTTGGGTAAGCGCCTCCCTTCAGCTTAGGCCCTACTCTCGGGGTCCTGGGATCCAGCCCCAAGGACCAGCTCCTTGCTCAGTGAGGAGCCTCTTCTCCCTCTCCTCCTGCCACCATCCCACCTGCTCACAAGGGCGCATACGCTCTGTCTCTCAAATAAATAAAATCTTAAAAAAACAAAAAACAACCCAGTGCAAATGTATCCTCCTATCCTCCAGTCTTGGAGGTCAGAAGTCTGAAGTCTTACTGGGCTACATACTGTCAAGGTGTGGGTGGGGCTGGTTCCTTCGGGAGGCTCCAGGGGGAGAATCCTTTCCTCGCTTTCTCCAGCTTTTCCAGGCTTCTGCAGCCCTAGCTGTGGCCCCTCCCATCCTCAAAGAGTGCTCCAGCCTTAGCTTCCACAGCTTTCTGACTCTGGCCCTCTGCTCCCCCTTCTAGGGACCTTGTGATTATTGTGGGCCTGCCCACATAATCCAGGATCATCTCCCTATCTCGAGATCCTTATGTTAATCACATCTTCAGAATCCCTTTTGCTGTGTAAAGTAACGAAGTCAGAGTTCCGGGAATTAGGATGTGAACTTCTTGGTTAGGCGTGTCGTTCCCCACCCCCCCCCACCTGAGTTTGTGAAAAGAGTGCTAAGTAGACAGGTCCCTAAGTGTCTGGATCACAGTCCATGGGGTAACCTGCTCTGCCTGCCCACTCCCCACCCTCCCATTTTTGGGGCCCTGCCCTGCCCCCTGCTTGAGCCTCTCCTGGGCTGCCCAGCTATTGCCGACCTGGAGACCTTGGAAAGTGCTTGTTCAAGACTTCCTTTTAGACCCAGGGTGAGCAAACTTTTTCTACTTGTGGCATTGCGGGCCACATAGGGTGTCACAAATTCTTTGTTTTTTATTTTATTTTTATTTTTATTTTTTTTTAAGATTTTATTTATTTATT